CTGTGTTATGTTGGTTTCGTTTTTTTTTTAAATGATCTTTGCATTTATTTTCTCTGCTCTCCCATGCCCAGAAAAACACAAGGTGGAGGGGACACACAGCAACACCTTTTCCCAAACTGACGTATCTCCCATAAAGTCATTAGGGAACAATTAATATCATGGACACACAATCCTACTGAAAATCAGATGTACAATGATGTATTTTTATTTCCAGTCCAACCTCCATGCTCATGCAGTACATGAAAATCCCAAGCAGTATTTTTTGTCTGATCATGACAGTCAGATTCTTGAAATACGGAGCGATACTTCTCTTGTATTTCTCCCACCTGCTTATCTGTGTGCAGTACACAAACACGAAAAGAAACTAACTGCACTGATGCATTCAGTGATTATAACTTTTTATGATTTACTAACTGAATTTTTACCATTGTATGCTTGTTTGTAAGACATTTTTATTTTACTTTTTTTTTTCTCTAAATTTTTCAAGGGTAGGTACTAATTAGACTTCGCTGAGAATCTTTTCAGAAGATGTCTCAATTAAAAAAATATGTTTTGCAGACATTTTAATGAGCATTTTAATCAGTTATTTTATTTTTGTAAGGCCAGCATGATATTTTGATTAAAAAAAAATCTCAATGTATGACTTAATAAAAGGACTAGAATAAAAATTCTATATTTTAATGAGCAATTTTGCTTGTTGGCTGTAGCAAGCTATACTCACTTTGACTAGGCATTTTGAAGCCACTGGTCATGAATATTTGGATTTGCAAGTTACAAGGTATCACCGTTGAGCTTTGACTGGATGACAGGTCCACTTCGAGCAGGAAAAAAATAAAGTAGTTCCTGATGTGATTGATTTAGCAATTGTGCTCATGTTTGCATTCACTACAAACCATAGTCTTTGCCAGCAAAATTCCAGGAATGTATGCAGAAAATCAACAAAGATTATAAAAATAAACTCAGAAGCATTTAGATAAAGCATTTATCTAACATCTACTGCATTCTCTTTCCCTAATACTGATCACATTAGTAAGCAACTATGCTAGCAACATTAAACCATATACTTTAAGTTGTTTATTCGCTGGATTAATATTGCTTGGAATACTCCTTCTAGCAATTATAGTATTTTCATGCAGCACAGTTCCAGAATAACCAAGCACCATGCCAACTTTCATGAATTTTCCTGTCAAAATAACAAAAACCTACCAAAGAAATAACAAAAAAGTATAAAAAAATGTGAATACGGAGCAGAACTGCAGTATCCTTGAGGTGTATGCAGTGTGTATGCTTTAACATTGTCACCAGGCACAGAGTTGAGTGCATTATGCTTTCCTCGGTATACCACTTCCACATATCTAGATTATGCAGAGAGACACGTGATAAGATACCCTAATTACAGCAATTATTAGAAATGACGATTTTACTACAGCCCTTTACACTAAAGGCTGCCCAACACACTCGATTTTAAGGGTTTATCTGCTCATCTCTTTCTCACACTCCAGATACATTTCTCCATAATCTTTTTCATCACACTTGCAGATGTCAGAGCATTACTCACAGCTGAGGGTAGAAGAATAAAAAGAGGGGATGAGCTCTGAAGGAACAAAGATCCTATTTTCATGTTAATGACCCCTTTTAATGAAATAGATGATGGAAGAACACAAAACACCTGTGAGCTACAGAGCTGTCTGTACATAGAGCTTTTTCTCACAGCTATGCAGTAGGCATTGGCAGATTACTTTAATGATCTTCAGAGGTTTAAATTTCTCTAGAGTGGTAGTAAGAGAGAATGTTTCACAGAGCAACCAAAAGTAAGTGAATAGAAAATTCTCTTGGAAACAGACATAAGACATTATATGTTTCTCTGGCAGCACTTGCAGCAGTCTTTTTAAAACTAAAATTAGCAAGCCCACTGCTGATTATTCAAAAGACTTAGAGTGACTCATAGAATCCCTAGAGTTGGAAGGGACCCTTAAATGCCATTTGGTTCAACTCCCCTGCAAAGAGACTCATCTGCAGCTCGATCAGGTTCTCAGAGCCCCATCCAGCCTGATCTCAAGTATCTCCAGAGACAGGGAATCCACCCCCTCTCCAGGCAACCTGTGCCAGCGCCTCATCACCTTTATTGTAAAAGACTTCTTCCTTATACCCAAATGAAATGTCCCCTTATATATGTCACAACAGGCTCCGCTAAGAAGTCTGTCCTCTTCTTTCTTAACTCCTCCCCTCCCCCCTCCAGATACTGAAAAGCCACTCTCAAGATTTCCCTGAAGCCTTCCCTTCTCCAGGCTGAACAGCCTCAAGCTCTCTCAGCCTGCTCTCACAAGGGAGGTGTTCCATCCCTTGGATCATCTTTGCGGTCTTACTCTGGACTGAGTGACCCAGAAACTAACTGGTAAACCAATGTAACAGAATAAAATGCAAATACAAATATCAGCAAGAAATTAAGAGAATGCGTATTTGCGTCAACTGTTCAAATTCTTTTAGATGGAACACCCTCCAGATGTTCCTTCCTTCCAGTAAATGAAGCCTTTCTTAGATATTGGAATATAGCCTTCATTCTCCACAGAGAATATAAAGCCATCATTCTCTGAACAACACAGTTGTGTCCGGGTGTATCCCTTCAAATCTGTTTGATTTAGAAAAAGGAACAGGAGAGAGAGTCCCTGTAGGCTTATTTCCTTGGAAATTTGTGACTTTGAGACATTTTCCTTTATATTCATTTCTGCCTTCAACACTAACTGAAAGTCAGCATTACACCTTCAGTTTGATTAAACTCTGCAAATAATAATAATTTCTCAAAAAACAAACATGAGGCACCAAATGACACTCTACCAAAACTATTCAAGAGCTCTGGATATACATATACTGCTGTAGAATTCTGGATTTTAATTGCTCATCTGCATCGGCTTATGTCCCAATTACCTTTCATTTTCTTTGCATGGAGGGTCAGCAGTATCTACACTATGAATGCAAAGGGCTGCCCTTCTTTATGAGGCCTGGCAGCGGCCATATAATTGGAGCTGCTTTTATTTTCCAAGGCAATGATGACCCCAGTAAATAATCCAGAACAAGATTTAACACTGTCTCTATAAGCCACATTAGTTTTAATTTTGATAGTAGAATTATAGTTTAGTTTACACTGAGGTATATTACCTAAGGGACACTTTGTTCAAGGTGAAAATACAGAGTTGCAGTTTCATGTTTTGTTTATGGCTATAGGGAATTAGATGGGTGGTTGGAACATCTTTTCATCTATTCAGTTTCTTGTTTGCCTTTGAAGCTCCAGGTCTTCTCCTATTTGTAAGGTTCTAAGAGGCCTTCAAAGTCTGAGCTCCACAAAAAGGAAAAAATGATCATTTTCATCATTATTCTCATTTCAGAATCTATCTGCTCAATTTATGATTAACCATTACTGTAAATAATGATGGGAAACTTCAAAAGGTTTGGAGTGAAGAGCAGGACACAGAGATCCAGGAACAAGGGCAATCAATCCCTTTCTCTCCTTTTTTGACCTTCTTCAGCCAGTACAATTTTGTTGGCTTTCTCAACAACTGGATCCCCCAGTTTCTCAGATTTTCTACTTTTATTAGCCCAGAAATACCGAAACATGTAGATGGGCTGTGCTTGTATCTGACACTTAGAAACCCTGTTAGCAGCCCCATAAAATAAAATGGGGGTGCATAAATACGTGTATACAAACACAGAAAAGCAAGCCTAAATTTAAAGTGGATTTGAGCTTGCAAAAGCCTCAGGTAATACAGATTCTGATTAGAAATTAAAAATCAGGAGCAGCAAAAGAAATTTTTAGTCTATATCCTTTACAAACCAAATATTAATTCAGCTTTGAAGTAAATTTGACCTAGAGCTCTTACTTCTTCCAGAAATTAAAAGAAAATATTTGACCAAACCACTCCTAAGCCTTAGCACGTTCAAAACCTAAGGAACATGCACAAACTTATAGTTTAGTAGTCACCTATTGGGATTTCACTTTAATCATCTGATTCATCACATTCTGATTTCAAAATGACTGCTTTTTCCAAAGGTTTTATTTTAAAGTCCAGATTCGTGGGACAAGAGCCAACATCTGCTCACAGGTGAACTCCCACCTCCAGACAGAGCTGGCAAGAACACTTGAAGATTGATGTCATTGTAAGCAAAAAGAGGAATAAGCCTAAATACAAATAATTAAACTTCAATTTTGGTTTAGTTAAGACAACCATATTTACAAGAAAATAGAGCAGTGCCTCCTTAATTCCTCAGTTTTCTCCCACATGTGCAGTGAAGATTTGAGCTTGTGACAAAGAGCTTTGAAATTTCTTTCAAGTAACCTTGGCACCAAACTACAAAATGTTTCACCACTGCTGTAGCTGATTGACATTCAAAGATTCAGTAACAGGACTTCTGCAATACAGCTCTCCACAAAGCTTGAACTCAGACTGGAAATCTTGGCACAGCAGCCTACACGCAGTATTACAAAGTGATTTAAGCTCATAGTGAAGAATTGTGTGTGCCTACTTCAGTGGTCATTAACTTGCTCATTTTCAGGGATTGAACTAGGTCTAACAGCAGTTAAAAGCATAACATTAGTCACTGGAGCAGGTGATGTTCACCAGCAGCATGGCAGAAAAGCTATTGTCTTCAGAGGCTTCAAGACTTCACTCTGAGTGCAAGCAAGCTTATGGTGAATTTAGTTAAGTTTCAACCCAAAATGTACACAGGAAATTGCAGAACTCTCCCCTCCACAATCAATGCTCTCTTCAGACTCGGAATATTTCAGTTGTGCATCATTCTTAGATCAAAGACCCTACTTTCAAGTTCTATTTAAACACAGAACAGCAGGAATAATGCCCCTTTAATGCTAGTTCAAAGTTAATCCCAACAACAAGAGATTGATAGTGATGCAGACTGCATTCAGCCACACTGCCTTCAAGCTTTCATTTCAAGATCTCTGTACCTATGGGGAAATTCTATCTGGGAAAAGAGGTTTTTGCTCTTACCAGTAGAACCTGTTTGGTGCAACTCCTTCATGAAGAAGCAGCCATCTTCTGCCAAACTCCACTGAACTGAATAACTGGGGACAAGAAAAAACAAACAACAAAAACAGTCAAGAATCACCATAAAACTCAACAGCAGTAGACAAATCAATCTTAAAGTCTGAAGAAGTCTTCTGAGACAGGAAGCCCAGGTTTTACTTCCCCCAGTCTTAAAAGGATATGTCTGGGACAGTTGAAAAGCATCTGCAGTGATTTTTAGGGTGGAAAAAATACCAAGTGGGGCAACATGGCACACAACTGCTTTTACCTTAATGATCAAACACACTGAAAGCTCATTATCTAGTTCACTGTGGCACTCTCAGGCAACAAAATAATGCAGTGTGAGAAGGCTGCCTGTTATGTTAAACTTGTGATAGACACCTGATGTGGAACATAACACAGAACTTTGATATCCTAACAGCTCTCAAAACGGATACACAGACTTGCCTTCCTTGATATTGAGTCAGAAGGTCAATCTCTTCCTAGTTACCAGTCACCATCTTCAGAAAAGTTTTTCAATGTAGAACACAAGAAGTGCCCCAATATGTCCAGATTTTGTGTATGCAGTACTGGTTGAGTTGAAATAGCAGAAACAACTTGTACCTGGAAGCCTGCAATTCTCACTTTGCTCCTACAAGCAATGTGACACAGCCTTCTAGCCTGATTACACAAACAATAACCAAATACATCAATCACATCAGAAAATCTTTCAACAATAAATACCAAGTAAGACTGAGAAAGGTCAGCAAAAAAAAGACACATACAGGCATTATAAATACTTGGTATGTCTTTGTGGAATAATATACAAATGTGACTTTTATAGAGCACTTACAAGCAGCTGCTTTCCATAAATGCTGCAATCAGATAATTCTCAGAAGAATAGCAGAGGATTATTTGGGTTCTGTTTTTCTTTGCTTTATTTTACTTCACTTTTTTTCACATAGAAACACAGAGAGGCAATCAGCCCTATATTTTTTCTTGCAAACTCATTCCATTTCCCCCCCAGAAGGGGGGGACATGGTCAATTTCTTCTTTGAAAGGAGTTGTTGAACCCTTTTCTTGACTTCAAAGAGACTTAGTTAAAAATGCAAGCAATCTGAATCTTGATGTGCAATTTTTGATTGATTTTTTTGGAACATGTATTGGCACTGGATTGGGATAAGACAAGGATGGAAGCCCAAGAGAATCACTGAGGAGACAAGCTGATATTAAGGCTCTGGGTTGACCAGAAAGATGATTTGAATGTTTTTTAAAAAATATGTGACCACGATTTGAGAAAACTTGTGGTCCACTTTCTATTCTGCATTACATTGCCATCACAAATCACTACATTCCTAGGGTTCCCTTCTTTAAAACCTTGGAATAGCACGGAAAAACTAATAACATCTGTAACAGCTGTTTGATAAAAAGTGTACTGTACATATACTGAAATCTAAGCATTAAAGCTGGTTATTCACCTCTTTATTCTCATCTCATTTTCTTCTTGAAAATTTGCTGAAAATTTCTTGAAAATATTGGCAAAGAAGAGACAGGGAAGAAAGGAGGGGGAATAGAAAATAACCAGGTCAGGCAAAGGAAACACAGTTCAGCTTTTCAAATGGAACTGCATAATAACCTCTTGAAATTTCAGTGGTGAATCTCTTACTTTCCATTAACTATAAATATATTTTTATTTGAAACGTTAATATTCACTAACCCTACCAATAAAAGAAGAAACCTCATTTATCCTCTAGAACACATAACAGTAAATTTCTAAAAGTGCTCTAAGGTCACCCGATCAAGAGTATTGCTATTACTGGATGCATTTATTCCTCCTTCACTTCCAAAGTCCATTTCCAGACCTGCTTTCATTATTGCATAATACAAACTAGTATATGATCACTAAGTTACTGTTACCTGTTTTACCAATACTTTCCCTCTTATGGCAAAGTGGTTTCTTCAATGCCAATAACTCTTCAATAGAATAGAGTAATTTAAACTTCAATAAAGTTGATATTGTCTCACAGTAAAACTTTAATTAAGAACAAAGATCAATACGAAAAACTCAGTAAACACTTCTGTACTTCCAGACCCATACGTGGGATGCAAGATTTCCAGGGTCACTGATGCTCTCAGAGAGCTGGAACCATCACAGTAAGTGTTGTTTTTCCCCCATTATATCCCTACTCTCTCTCTAGTTTCCCTGAGGACAACTTTCAGAAAGTTACAACCTTTTAGAACTTATCGTTGATAGTAACAATACCCTAAAATAATTTACCATGGCTGGCAGAAGTTTTATTCGTTCTTGTATAGCATCCTCTTTCATGCCTACAACCTCAGTGCAGTACCAAATTGTTGAACATTCCCACCACCCCATTTCCCCCTGGCTCTTTCAGAAGTATTTGGAGGGGCTGTTCATTTGGCAAATCTATGATTTCTGTGGCACAGAGGAGCAGTGATGCTGCACTGTTCCCAGGGAAACCTGTTATCTCTTACTGTGTGCCCTGAACAAAAGACATGAGTCAGGAAAAAGAAGAGAAATGCAAGACTGGTGTTTGTTTCAAAGGAAGGAAATAGATACAGCAATTCTACTATGTCAGTATCTTCCTCTCATAACAGAAGTCAGTGCCCAGTGAGCTGGGAAAAGTACATGAGAAAAGGAAATAGGTCTCACAGGGAAATATCAGATCCCTGGGAATTCATGCCCAAAGCCCTCATTGTCTTTGAAGAAACAGTTTAATAACCAGACTTTAGAGGCTTTATTCCTTTGCCATTATCTCAGTACCAATCTTAGCCTTCACTGATTCGCAGCAGCACCAGTGTACTTTCATAAGGGGAATTCCCCATATTAGGTGCCATCCCCAACAAAAGGGAAAACATTCTTTACATTAAAGTTGTTTTTTTCCAGAAATTTTAAGTATCGTTCAGCTTAACCTGAGTTTATTTAGTTAGAGCAGGAGAAGAAAAAATGAAATATTTGGAGTCTAGGATTTTGTGAAGTACCAAATATGATGCAGCAGGGAATATTTTTCCTCATTTAGCAGTTATAGTGCTCGTATGGATTTTTTTGTTTAACCCAACATCATATTTTATTGTCATTATAAAAGCTCTTTCTCTCCTGGGATGATTTCCGACGGACTCATTTGTGCAGTCCCTTCAGAGATTACATTTTATTTTCTTTGGCAATTACTGCAGTTTGTTGACAACTTTCATTAGGAGACAGAAATTAGATGATGTTTTCTACTACAACTCTTATTCCAACCATAAATAAAAAACAAACCTTCTACAATTTCAGTGTATGTTTTCAGCTCAGGGCCAAGTAGTGATCTGATGTTTCTGTTCTCACTAAGACAAAACCACTACAAAGTATGAATCTTATACTGATCTCTCAGATTTGACCCTTCTTCAGTGGGGAATAAAACTCTTCCTACTTCCTCTTCTCTTTTGTAGTTGTACCTCCTACACACGTTCTCTTGCAGTCAGATTTCTAAGCTCTTTAGAGTAGAAATCATCTATTGTGGTATGCATTTACACAACATAAAGATTCGTGGGGCTCTCATTAGCTATAATAATACAGGAAAATTGTAAGTGAAGGTACGTATAAGGAAAAGGTTTCCCTGTAATAGATACTTCTGTAAAAGGTTTCACTACTCACAATGGTGAAAATTAGACTGTTTTCTCATATTTTCCTATGTTATTTCTAATATACTTTTCAGCCACCAAGCAGCTTATCAACCTAGGAGTTCAGGCAATTCTGCATACATTTGCTTACCTCAAACAAATTACAAGAATAACCATCCTTATATTAAAGTGAATCAAAGCAAATCTATCAAATTAATTTTCTTAAAAATTGGGGAAATCAGCCATTCTCTAGTTGAGCACCTGGCAGTGTTTGAAACTGCAAAAGCAACACGGGCCCATTCAAACCAGAGAACATCTGTTCGAATGGAAACATTAAATCTATGTGAGAAAAAGACAGCCCCAGAGTTGGCAAAGCCAGTGTTAGGGGGGTATTAATTTGATCCAGGTAATGAAACATTTTCTTTACTGTCAGATTACAAAAGAATTACTGAATTAGATTAGAATGAAGTACAGTTTCACTACCATCTCTTTTTATAAACAGCCTTCAACAGATGCTTGAAAAACCAAAATACTTACATATTCAAAAACTTTGTATATTCAACAGTTCTTCTAAATAAGGTCTCAAACTCCATCAATCCTTGGCTCAGGGTCTTTCTGAGTGAGAGGTTGTATTTCTTTAGTATTTCTCAATACTTTTTTAAGTTCTTCTATGTATTCCCTTCTATTCTTTCAGCACCCACAGAATACTACGGTAAGCAAGGAGCTCCACAACCTAACACTGCATGAAGAATCATCACTCCTTGCTTGCTTTGAGTCTGCTGTGGAGGTCTCAAGTACAATAAAACATCAGTCCTTCCTCCACATTTATGGAGTTAAAACAAATTACATTAACTGAGGAGTCATCTCTTTCCCAAATCTTCCAGCAGACTTGGCTTTGTACTTCCTTGTACTATTTTGCATGTCTTTTAGAAGCTACAAAACATGTAGCTAAAATAAGAGCTTTGAAGGGAAACGTTTTCTAGGCATCAAACAAATTTGATCTGTGTTGATGTTGGTATGAGATTCTAACCTAGAGGACCTACTTGTCTGTTTAGATCTAACAGAATTACGAAGTTGAAAACTTATGATATTAACTCACATGTTTAGCACAAACAATAAGCTGTTAGCAGTTTCATGAAGTTCTACATCTGGATGAGCTTGGGAGATGCACTTTAACAAAACTGTATTCCAAAACACCTGTTTCCTCCATGAACGCTGAATTTTCCATGAGATCTTCCCAGCCAAAAACGTGGCTCTTATGAAGTGGCTGAACTAAGTTTATTCGGCTGCTCAACCTAATGGTTAACAAAGCACATCATCAAACAGATGTCACTAGCAAATGCAAATGTGTATTAAAGAAAGAAGCCCTTATCCCCATCAATTAGCAGAGTTCTGTGTTTCCCAGAGCTACCGTTATGCTCCCTGAACTCACCAAAGA